TCCGGGGAAATCCGGACATATGGTAGCCCTACCCCTCTGCACCCCAATCTGGTGGGTCTATGTGAGGCTAGGGCAATCTGCACAGAAATCCTATCTCACCACAGCACCTCCAGCAGCACCCACCTCTTGCTCTCTGGCAGCTGTGCTGCCAGGGATTCTACCCCACCCCACGGCCAGTTCCGATAAGGGTGACCAGGCGTCCCGATTTTATAAGGAGAGTCCTGATTTAGGTGCGTATTACCCCCTCCCACTTGCTATCTGGTCACCCTTGTTCTCACTACCACATGGAGAGGCGCAGATCTGCTCATGGATCTCAGCAGAGCTGCCATGGCCCATTATTATTGTACTGAGTCGGCTGTCTCATTACTGGGGCACCTTCTTCCCAGTCCTGCTGGGCTCAAAGGAAAGGATCTAGTCAGTGGAGGGCACTGTTACCCAGTTCAAAATCTAGCCAGTAGAGAGCTCCACCATCCTGAGGACAGGAAGAGGAAGGACACGCTGGAGGTTAGAGGCGGCGCTGGAGAGAGCCAGGGCTGTAAAAGAAGAGGGAGAGCAGGCAGAGGCAGTAGCCTGCAGGCTGAGACTGGAAGGCTGAGAGCCAGGCAGACACACCCAGTTGGCAGGGGACTAGGAGTAACTGCAGCAAGAATATGCAGGGCATCAGCCTACATGCAAGATAGTGGCTGGGATCCACCTCAACACTGAGACCCTACCCTTTATATCCCTGTACTGGATTGCCCCTAGGAGCTGGGTTAGTGTCTTGTTGTAACTGTGCCTTAGTAATCATGCCTTTTGGTGTCTGGCAGTCCTAGTAAAGGAATCCTCCCCTTACTCAAAAAGTATGAGTGTTTATGGGAACTATCAAGAGCCTGAACCTCTAGAGCAGAGTGCTTGGAGCACATGCAGCGCAGGCCACACCCATCTGCATTCAAGGTAAGTCTACAGTGCAGCTGGGAGCATGCTTCCCAGCATGGGTAGACACAGAGAGACTAGCTCTGCTAGCTGCGGGGAGCACAGGTGGTGGCTTGCACTAGCTGCCTGACTCAATGGGTACATACCTGGGCAGCTAGTCTGAGCTTCCACCCGTGCTACTCCGAGCTACACTGCTATTCTTAGCACACTAGCACCCTGCTGCAGTGTAGACATGCCGTTAGAGGCAGACTGGTGCCTCGCATCACTCAAACGCACTGCTATAGACCGGATCACTTACAATATTTAGAATGTCACAGTGCTCAGAATAGGTTCCAGCATATATGGGAACCCACAGTCCTTGCCCTAAACCAGGGATAGTCAATTCTTTTTTGTCAAGGTCCACATTTCCTGGTTAAGGTACAATCAAGGTCCAGACTCCAGAGAAAATAATAAGAATAAAAAAAAACAACCTAGTAACAATAATGATAACAATAAGTAAATAAAAAGATTTTGGGGTCTGTTCAAAAATGTCTGACCATCTGGATTTGGTCCGCAGTCCACCTATTGACTATCCCTGCCCTAAATGGACAAAGCCAAATGATTGACGGTAGACAAGGATGTAAAACAGGGGTGGTGATAGCTACAAGTCATATTGGTTACTTTTAAGTTAAACTAACACATTCTCCCTCCATCTTTCAATCCCCTCACCTTCCCTTTAGCCTCAGCAATCTACAACTTGAATACTTGCATTGGTTCACATTTCCTCCCCACCTTCAACTCCTCCCCTGCAGGTGAACAAGGATTCACTAAAAAGGTAAATCATTGAAATAAGCAGATGACTCAGTCAGCTACTTTCTTACAAAAGAGTGTGCTATGGAACTCCTATCCCTAACTTCCAAGTCAGTAGCATTTTGAACTCCGAACCCTCTAAAACTAGCAGCGTGAGTAAAAGTTAGGAACATGAGGTTTGTTGTGTCCTCAGTTTCTGCAGAGCACAAAAATTGACACTCTAGATGGGGAGTTAGGGTTTGAGTGTCCCTGCTGAGGCATCTCTATTCGTAAATATAAGAGGTGGGGAAGGGAGCAAATCAAACAGAGGGCCCTTATTGCTGGCATGGAAAGCCTGCTGAAGGACCCATCAAAAGAAAGCCTAAGCATAAAACCCCCAGTTTTATATAAAATTGTATATACCACTCCACCACCACCACCACACACCTGTGCAAACAGATTTTTTTGGTTCAGTGGCCGAACTGGATGATGGAAGGGAGAAAAGTTAGTTTCAGGCCAAATAAAATGTTTTGTTTTGAAAAGTATCAAAACATTTTGATTTTTTTTGCAACTTATTTCTGGGAGGGCTGGGGGTAGGGTGACCACACAGCAAATGTGAAAAATCAGGACAGGGGGTTGGGGGGTACCAGGAGCCTATATAAGAGAAAGACCCAAAAATCGGGACATCTGGTCACCCTAGCTCGGGAGTTGTTTTTGTTTTTACAAAAACAATTCAGCGAATTCAACCCAATTCCTTGCTGACAGGAAGGGGTGGAGAGAGAAGAGCAAAAGCACGGGATAATGGGCAGAGGCCATAAAACCTGAGCTTCGCTCTCAGTACACTGCAGATCAGGAACAGGCACAGACAAAGCTCCCACCATCACTGCCCATGCTGTCCTGCATGTATTTAGTATTGGGTGAGCAACATTAATGACACTTAAACCCACACAAAACCCCTCTCACCTGAAATGACTTCCAGAAGTAACATGAGTTTAAGACCATCCCTGAAATCTTCCTCTATGTTGTCAATCTGCGTGCCAGCCTTGCGGAGGTGAGAGTTACACCATGCTGTGAATGTCTAGAAACAGGAGGGAAGAGAAGAAAAGAAAAAAGAGTAGTTGGCAATCTTCCCAATGGCTATATTACAGTTCAAAAAGGAAATACGGAGAACCAAAGAATTGATGCTAGGATACAGGGGGTTAGCTTCAAGCCACAATTAGACTGAACAACACTTGATGCATTGACCCTGCACTAGAGCCAGTACCTGAATACGCAAAGGGCCTGCAAAGCCCTTCCACGTATGAGTACAATACTAATAAGAGTTTAGTAGAAACAACTACTCAATCCAGGGCTCCAGGATGTCACGTTCTCCTGAACGCCCCCTAATTTTGGGTGCTCAGCTTGAGACACCTGAAACTGATTTTCGGAAGTGTTAGGCATTCACAGCTCCCATTTACTTCTCTTGGCTCAGTCGCACAATATGTCAGAAAGGAAAATAATCCAGGTCTACCTATTCCAAGATGGGTGTTTGAACCAGAGGACCATTCTTTTACCCACCTTTTTCCTTCGTCAATAAAGCATTAGGAAGTACTACAGCCTGCACACTTATGGAGACTACATAGAGCAGAGCCTGTCAAAGTGTGAGAGCAATATCTTAAAAGGGATGATCTTGTGGCCTACCTCCTCTCTGCTTCATAGTAACACAAGCTACCGCACCTCACATTCATGGTCATTTAACATCCCTACGGCAGCTGCTTATGTGGAAGAATATATGCTTTCCAAATAATTGTAGTATTTGCTGCCTGTAATGTAATATAGTAGCTGGAAGACAGAAAAATCAAGCACCTGATGATAAGACACCAGAAAGCGTTCTGTGGTCTGCTGATTGTCCATGGACCATTGTTTGGGAGCCGGTGCAGACACCTCTAAGATACAGCCTCCGTTCTATAAACTAGCAATTCTATACAGCAGAAGGAAGGAATTTAGGCTCCCTGAGCAGATATATCCGAATTCCAGTTGTGCCTGGACACTAACACCTACATACTCTTGGGAAATGCCCTGGGTCTTAAATAATCCCAGGTGGTCAGAGCGTCGGATTTCTCAAGGGGATGAGCATAACCACAGAAAAGATTTAGTCAGCAGTTGTGGTGAAATTTGTCTCAGTCATCTGCAATCTGTGATCATGACTGTTTGGTCAGTCATGAGAAAGACCTAAATTAAGATTAGCATTTTGAACACATGGTAATATAGATTGCCTGGATATCTCTTCCTTATCAGCTGGTAGGTTGCTAAGGGGAAGCGTCATATATGTAAGGCCAGAAATGTGGTGTGCCTATTGTTCACTTAGAAATTAAAATAATAAATACCTCAAGTTCAAAGTGTGGCAGTGTGCTAACTAGCTGAATAAAAGGATCTTGGGTGGAGTAGCAGAGGAGAACTGAGAACCTGGATTACCTCACTCCCCACCCTTAAATAGGATTTGCATATGGCAGAAGTCCTTTGTTTCCTAGTTTGAACCTCCCACCCCCAGTTTCTCCTGGAAAAATACAGAATTCAAGATGGGTTCCAGTATCCGGTGACATGGTCACTTGCCTCTGTAGCCATTCTTCACAGGCTGACCTACACATTCACAGGAAGACTAAGCTCTTTTACAGTCCATTGGCTCTTGCTGATTGGCCATCAGCACTGGGGGCTTTTTCATTGTTGTACCTGAAGTGTTAGCGGGGGCGTCACCCAAAGTAACATAGTTGAAACATAGATATAGTCAATATTCCTAATTTCAGATACAGAAATGATACATGCATACAAATAGGACACTCGTATTCAGTAAATCATAACCTTTCCAACAATATCTCACATACGCCATCTTGCATAAAGTATCTCTCAGTTATGTCATATGAATATCATAAGCATATTTTCATAAAGAACATGGAATGACACGTCACACCTCTGCTCTGAGGTTACTGCCAGAGGGTTGGTCACTGACCAATGCGGAGGCAGTGTGTCTAAAATTCCTTAAGTGTAGGTGTCTTGGCATTTAGCCACCAATGCTAGGAGGCGGTGTGCCTCAGTTTCCCCTTCCACACAGCAGTCTAGATTGGTTATGCTTTCTCTACTGTGCCAAACTCTAAGCTTGTTTACAGGTACCAGCTGAGAAGCAGTATGCTCATATAACTTTGTTACTACTCCCAGTCTGTACCAAAGATTTTTCCAAAAATCATGCATGTTACACATTTTTAAAGTATTTACCACCAGTATCAAATTCTTTGTCTTAACCCACAGTGTGTGTAGTAAGAGACAAAGTTACCAGCAAATTCATGACAGAGAGGTGCTTCCAAGTATGATTATCATACTATGCCTTCTGTCTAAACAGATCAGTTTGTTCAGCATTTATGGTATTTCACATCCCCTCAGTAAAAGTTCTTACTTTGGGAATGTCTTTGGAGTTTTGGCAAGGAAAGGGTGTAAGGAGACCTTGTATGTAACTGGCCCTCCCCCTGTGGAGTTGCATTTCCTCTCCAGGGTTAAGCCCATGCAAAGAATCCATCCCCTCTCCTGAGAATCCTTTGTGCTGTTCACCTCCAACACTCAGGTTTGATGCTTAGCTGTGGGGAGGGGTTTACCTGCCCAGGAAGTGGCTGTCTCCGCCCCTTCATCAGGTGGATCATTAGCATGTTCACAGACACCAAAATGCTTGGAAGAAACCCCCCCTGCCTTAAAGAGACAGAGTTAGTTTTCACAAGTACAGTAGGAAAAACATTTTGCCAAAGTGGGGCCTGGAGTGGGGTACCCTTGGTCACCCCTCTCACTGTTCCCAAGAGGACAGTTGTATGGCTGCTCCTCTCCAGGAGGTCAGATACACAGTTCCCCCTTAAAACCTGAGCCACCGGTGAGGTGCCTGGGATTACAGATGCAGATCCAGCAAATTTCTCCTGGGCAAAACCCTTCCCTGTAATGAATGGGGAGACACTCCTGTACTCCCCCACTTAGGGTGACCAGATGTCCCGATTTTATAGGGACCGTCCCGATATTTGGGGCTTTTTCTTATATAGGCTCCTATTACCCCCCCCCACCCCGTCCCGATTTTTCACACTTGCTGTCTGGTCACCCTACCCCCACTTTCCTTCTTAACTTCTTTCTTTGGGCCCCCTGTCACAGCAGACACCCCTGCGCTCCCTGGAGGGCAATATGTCCCCTGTCCAGTTCTGGGCTCATGGCTACCAGCCATGACAGACCCTTCACTGTCAAGCCCTGTACCCTTCTCCGTCTTTGAATGGGGTTGGCCTCCAGTTACAGAGCCTCTGGAATCCTCATCCCCCCCGCAGCAGTTTCTTGGATCCCACCTTCCCCCTCTAAAGCTTCCTCCAGGACACATTTCCCTATGCATCCCAGAGCAGGATTTATCCCTTGCTTAACTGCAACCTCCTGGCAGCCAGCAACCTGGACAGTCTCCCTACCATAAGGCAAAACATTCCCCTCCCCTGAGGGAACAGCCACGGGACAGAAGCTGGTTCTAGTCACCCCCACCTCTTGGGGCAAATGGCTTTGCAGTCCTGGAGAGGAATTAAAGAGACTCTCTCCCATTTTCTCAGCAGTATCTGTAGCTTTGCTCCTTCCCACTGGGGCTTCAGCACAAGATTTCTCCTCGCTGCTGACAGACCCCTGTATAGCCCTAGCCACATTGAAAAAGTCATTACCCAAAAGAATTTGTGTTGGGTTATGAGAAACCGCAGTCATGGTTAACTCAGCTTGCAAATCCCCAGCTTCCATGTGCACTTTAGCCAAAGGCACACGGATTTTGTGACTCCCTACTAACAAAAGCTCTGCCATCTGTCCTGGCAGTATGTCTTTCTCCTGACCACAGAGATTTCTGCACCAGTATCTCTCCTTGCAGGGAATTCTGTGCCATTTACTCTGACAGCCTTCATGTGCTTACTGCCTGGCTGTAGAGTGGCAACCTTTACAAATCCTGTGTGATAAGTGGCAACTGCCTGAGGTGTCTCTGTGCTCTGGGTAGCAGCATTTCCCCGAGTTACCTGTTCCCACTCAGCATAAGGCATTTATTCCTCAGGTGCTCAGTGGAATTACAATGATAGCACCTTCTGGGCTCTTCTGCTTTCACAGGAGATTTGGGACAAGGACTGCAGGAGTGAACTTGGGGAGGTGAGTGTCCAGCCTCCCATCCACCCTCCTTCTTCCCAGGAGTAAAACAGGGACTTTGCTTCCCACCGAACTTTAACCCCTCTGCCTGTGATTTATTCCTACTAGGTGGTTGGGATTGCTCAAATTTATCAGCATAAGCAAGTTCATCGACTGTTTCCACCTTTTTATCCCATAAACACTGTTTTACATCATCACTAGACATATTCAGGAACTGTTCCTGAGCAACCAAATCACACATTCCTTCAAAGTTTGAAATATCTTTTCCCCTCACCCATTTATCCAGTAGATCTCTCATTTGGTTCACATAAACCACATTACTTAATCCAGCTCCTCTCAAGACTTCTAAATTTTACTCTAAAATTTCAGGTGTAATCAGAAACTGTTTTAAAACCAAATCCTTACATTTACCATAATTGGAAGCATCACCCATGGGCATCTTATTGAATATGTCCAGAGCTCTCCCAGTCAATTTTGCAACCAAAGTGGTCATCTTTTGATCCTCAGAAATTGCAAGGAGCATACACAATCTCTCAAAGGCGATGAAATATTCAGCAATGTCACCAGACTCACTATATGGTGGCCACAACCGCTCCTACTTGTGGATTTTTGGAGAGGTGGGGGTTCGGTCTCCTCCACTTCATTACAGCCAGTTCATGCTTCTGGGCTTCCCTTTCTCTCTCAGCCTCAAACTGTCTCAGTTCCATGGCTTGCTTCTGGGCTTCCCTTTCCCTGTCAGCCTTGAGCTGTCTCAGTTCCATGGCTTGCTTCTGGGCTTCCCTTTCTCTGTCAGCCTCAAGTTGGCTCAGTTCCAAGGCCCTCTGATGTGCAGACTTCTCCTCATCAATTTCCATCTGTTTTAATTCTGTCTGTCTCTGGGGTATTTTTTCCATTTTCCTCTACCTGCAACCTGTAGAG